GGGGCTACAGCCTGCCCTCCACCCGCCTGACCACCCCAGCTCTGAGGAGCACATGTCCCCAGCCCTCCCAGCATGACTGAGCGCTGGCCGGGGAGGGGGAGGCGTCTGTGTGTGAAAGACAACCCGTCCCGGCTACTGTGGTTCCTGCCTCACATTCGCGCCAGCCATGAACCTGGACTCGAGGCTGACCGTCCACTCCCACCCTATAGCTGGGACACCACCCACAGACCTTCCTGCCAGTATCCCGGGGTCAGCCAGCCTGCACGCCCCTCCCACGTTCCTCGTTGAGGTGAGAGCTCCAGGTGAGCCCTGCGCCCTGCCCAGGGCACTCACATGAGAAAGCAGGAAAGAGCTTCCACATCAGGACTCTGGGGAAGGTGCTCCCGGGCCAGGGCCTTGAAGCACTGCCAACGTCGGAAGTTCACGTACACACTCTTGGGGTTGCAGGAGTCATCTGGCGAGGCCTTGGGCCGGGAGGTGCCCTGGCTACCTTCCCTGGAAGCCCCATGTGGCCGTGCCCCAGGGTTCATCGAGGTCACGATGGGGGCCAGCTGGGCAGCTGGTGGTGGAGCTTGAGCTGGAAGGCTGGGAAGCCAGCCTCCCTCGCTGGCGTGGGTGGCCCCAAAAGTCGACGTGGGCATAATGGTTTCCACCGCAGAGGCCTCCAAGAAGAGGGGTGCAGGACACACAGCACCCTCACAGTGGGCCCCTGGAACATTCCAGTCGAGGGGGGCCTGACTCAGGACAATGATCTGAGTCTGGGGGTTCGGTGGTCGGCCCCCTTCTGACCTGACCTGGTCCATGATGTTGCAGGTTCCAGTCCCAACCGGGCCTTGACCAGCGTCTCCTGCCACCAGAGGTGTCCTGGGCAAAGCCGGCAGCACCGAGGGGCGGCCAGGAGGGAACGACAGGGTCGTGAGTAACTGCAGATGCTGCTCCCAAGATGGCCTGTGTGCAGGGCCAGTACTGGGCGCAGGAAAGGCCTGTGCTGTGAAAGGAGTGGTGGAGGCGCCAGGGTTCAGGGGCACATCCGCTCCCCGCACTGCAGATGCTGTTGAGACAAAGGGGATGGGTGAATGGAGCAGGACAGCCAGCCAACGGGACTGAGGCGCTCTGGGTCCCCTTTAGCCACCGGGAATCAGAGCAGTGAGTCTCAACACGAGGGCCATTTGGATGGGGCAAACTGTGGAACTGGCAAATATCCTCCAGTCACTGTCATGCTCTGACCTCCAGGTGAGAATTGTGCCCCTGGAGAGCCTGCTCCCTGACCACTGTCTGTGAGAAGGATCAGCCCAGCCAGCGCTGACTGAGAGCCTCCCTAAGGACTCCCGGGCACCCGGCCCTGCCAGCCTCAGAGACTGTCGCCCAAGACATGGCCCTGGGCAGAAATCCGCCCTGTGGGAAATGACCCTACACTGGCAGTAGGGTCAGTCCAAGGTAAGTTCTAGGCCCCCAAAGGGCCTTTGAGGACAGGCAGTGTCTGGAATATTCGGGCCCCACCTCCCCAGTCTTCCTTTTCCTTGATGTACAGCACTCTCTTCCCCCCCGTCTTGCACAAGAGCACAGAAATGCTTGAGTAATAGCTGTCCCTGCACAGGAAGGCCCCGGGCACCCTGACCTAAGCCTTGAACACGCCAGCCCAGCAGACACCTGTGTGTCAAAGCCAAGAGCAGTGACCACTTAACATGGGCCAGGTTCCGCCACTCCGGCCCCAGTGCTCAGACTCAGGGCCGCCCTCAGGAGCCCTGTTCCCAGGAGAGGTTTCTGTGAGGTAGGCCTGTGTCCCTGAGATTCTGTCATTTCACAGCCAGCAATGGCTGCAGAGAGTTGGAGAAGGGCCAGGGAATGAAGAGCAGGGGGGCTGTTGGTAGAGGTTTCCAGAAACTTCCACAGCTGCTTTCATGTTAGAGTGGTCAAGGGACTGCAGACTGCCTGTGGTCCTTCCCCTCCCAGCTCCCAACAATGGAAAGTGAAGGCGCAGTAAGAACCAGGTGTGAGCCTGGTGACAGTGGGACAGCAATGTCTGGACACATCCCCGCTCAGAGGCACTCAAGCAGACCCATGTCCAGGGGAACAAGCTACACACCACGTGCCCCTAGTTGCTCAGGACAGGCGTCCTTGGACGTTCACTAAGGACACAGGGGAGCACCTTCCTGCCTCTGTGCTACTCCCCTCGCCCCCTTTCAAAAGGGACCCGCCTTCACCGACCTACCAAGGGAAACCAACCACGCTCCACATCCGTTTTGTGTCCCTGAAGCAGGACCTGGACTATGAGCAGAGCCCTCGTCTCAAAGGTAAAAGGCCCGGCAGGGGGTGCACCCTGAGATACACGACAAANAGATACACGACAAGGGGAAGTGGGTCTGAAGAACTGAGCTGCCACAATGCGGGAACAATTGGGGACAACTCGGGGGCACCGAGCCCCATGTTGGTGGAAGTTACCCGCTGCCCTGCCCCTGCGGAATCCGAGACAAGCAGCAGCTCCCTGGGCTGAGAAGTGAGCTCTGGGCTGGAGGCAGTGGAGGAGCCCTGGGCTGCAGCCGGTGGAGGGCCTTCCAGCCCAGCCCTCGGGAGGTCATTTCATTGTAGACTTGGCCATGGACTGCCCCACTGGACAGCTTTCTGGCTAAGACCCCTCTTCTCACTGCCCCCATTGGCTCTAGCACACTCAGCTCGCACCCCTTAGAGAGAGATGGTGGGGCAAGCTCCAGGAGCCTGAAGAACAGCACAGAGGACTAGGCTTTCCCGTGACCCTCCCTGTGCCACCACCACGACATAACCCACCACTCCCTCCACACACACATGTCCAAGTGGCTTGTCTCCCCTCTAGAAAGAATCCATGTGCCTGCTGCCGCCCCTTCTCCACACCCAGGAATTTCCCCGGAGTCACCCCTATCCACCTCTGAGGAGCCCTCCTGTCCAGGGCTGTCACAGGTTTCCACTGGCTCCCAGCCTCCCTGGGTGACAGGTCCTTGGAAGCCCAGTGGTGTCTCCTTGCCCTACTTCAGTTCCAACCGTGTTCCCCCAGCGGAAGTGTCACCTTTTAATTCCAAGTTTTGAGGGACAGTTTCAGTTTTTAAATCACTGCCCCCCTCAATCTATAGGCTTACCTCCTACTGAAGCCATCCCCACAGGCTCAGGCGCTGGCCACCGCTGCCTAGTAGCCTCCACAAAGAGAAAATGCTAGCACAGGACCCAGAGAGTGACCTGCTCCAACAGATGCTCAGCATCCAGTGGAGGGAAGGGTTTGGATTTAAACAGCAGAATGTAGGACCCCAGACATTCTACAGCGGGGGAGGGGCAGGGGCAGGTGGGCCTGGGTGGGGGTGGGAGGGGAGACATTCCATGGAGGGTCTGGCAGGTAGGCAAGAACCAGCAGCAGTTCCTTTCAGATTTTACGTGGCAACACGATTGGCGTGTGTCTCTTTAGGCCATTTACACACCGGTGGTTTTAGATTCACAGCACAAAGGCTTTACTCAATGTGACTTTATTTCAGTTCTTGATCCATCCACCTAGATTTANACTGGTGTTTTTACATTCACGGCACAAAGGCTTTACTCAATGTGACTTTATTTCAGTTCTTGATCCATTCACCTAGATTTGGGCCCCTCCACCTGCTTCCTACGTGGCTCTCTGCTCACCTCAGCACAGGCTCCACTTTCTGGACAAAATTCAGAACATACTCCTGAGGAAATAATGGGAACTGATGGCCGCAGGGGACCCAGTGTTTNGGGAACTGATGGCCGCAGGGGACCCAGTCCGCAGAAATTAGGACCCACTCCGCAGACCCAGCATGTTGGGTGCTGTGTGCACGTCCTTCTTAAGGAATCAGGTCTGTGCCCCAGGTGCCCTCCAGCGCTGGGGCTCTGCAGGCTGCAGCCGGCCCAGCCTCACCAATGATGCCCTTTGCTCCGGTCCATCAGGGCAGCGCCAGTAGCCTGCACGGCAAGACCAGAATCACTGCTTTCTGCTTCTCAGTATTATGCTGTTCAGTGTTTAATTTTGTACCTTTTGAATGATTTTAATGTAATGTTTTAAACAAGTAATGACTTTGCATAGTTCATAGTCAAATTGTGCGAAATGGAAAATGCAGTGATGAGTCTTTCTCCTGCCTCCATCCCCTGGCAGCACAGTCTTCTTTCCCACAGGACTCCAATGCTGTTATCTGTTTCCTTTAAGTCTTTCCAGAGGTGTATTATGCAACTAAAAGCAAATGCATGCTATTTTCATATTTATAAAATACTCTGAGCTTTTTCCTTCGGTTAAAAATTAATATATGCTCCAAGATATTTATTTTATATGTAATATTACTTATATATACTACAATGATTGTCTTTGTACTGGTAGTGAGGCTCCTCTCTATTTCTGGAGGCTAGATTCTTAGAACAAGAAGTTCTACAGTCCCTTAAAATTCAAAGTATGTGAAAGAATGGTGGCCAGGTTTAGCAAATAATGAACGCACAACTGAATTCGATTTTAAGATACACAATGAAGTAGTTTTAGGATAATTATGTTTGATGCAATATTTGGGACATTCCTCTACTGTAAATTTGTTCACTGTTTTCTGAAATTTTCATTTAACTAGCATCCTGTATTTTATGTGGCAACTCTACCAAGCAAGTAACTTATTGCTATTATTAGTTACTCACCTCTAAAAGAAGGAGAACTTCCAGTAAAGAGATTCAAGTGTGCAACTTGACTTCATCACAAAACACAATTGCATATACATGTGAAATGTGCACGCTCTTTGGAGGATATGGAATTTGTGAGAGCATCACACAGCACTGACCATCTAGGCTCAGTGGAGTTAAAGAGAGAAGTAAGAGACAAGAAGGCAAAAAAATCTTCTGCTCCCACATGTTAACGGTGCTTAAGAGCTTAAGGTCCTGGTTTTCCTAGGTGTTAAAATTCCACCACACATGAGGTGGATGTGCACGTTGAGACAAAGCCAGGATTCTATCCACCATGTCTAATCCCTATTTACAAAAACCTGCACCCACCTAACTCCTAGCTTGCCAGTCTGAGCCCAGAAGCCCTGCTCATTGGTTTCCAAATTTCCTGGCTGCATCATATGCCCTTGCTCTCTGGAATCTAGGCTCATCATTGCATGTGGTCCCATCCTTATGTGAATCAGGTGGTAGCACTCCTTTAAAAACTTGATTCTTATATCACATTGTGTATAAATGTCAGTTTATCACTGTCAAAATGAAATGAACAAGCATTTGTGTTTTGTGAAAGGCAAGGATTGTTAGGAAACTGATCAAGGGAGATGAGGGGTGACAACTTTGGAGAATTTCAACCAAATCTCTTTGGAGTCAATCTTCACTCTGTGCTGTGGGAGCAGAATTCCTACTGATGATCAGGTGCTAGAGAAGAGAAGAGAGGTTTACAAGGTAGTTCCACAATGTGAACATTCACTTAAAAAACCCTCCTGTTGGCGCTTAATAAGTTTCTTGCCACCTGCAAGGAAAAATTGACTCAAAAGAAGATGAAGTGAGAGCAATTCAAGCAAAATCATGGCAGACTTTATTTCAAAAAACTACTGTGGGGATTGAAAAAAATAAACAGCTTGAAGATATTTCTCAAGACTCAAGCTTTTATCATGGAGGTAACCTTAAATGATTTTCAACCAATAGCTTCATATTAGACGGATGGTGAGGCAAAATACTGTGCTCAGTCACTTGCTCAGGAAAGGCAGGCCTCCTGCTGCTTCCTCCCCTTATCCAGTCAGTTCACCAATTATTTACAAGTGTCTCACTCATGGCTCTGACAGGATGTGAATGACTCTTTTCAGGGTCAGTG